GAAAGATATATTTCTTCACAATATACGCACTTTATTGTTCGTATGAACAACTGCAAGAAGAATAATGAAGGAGACAAGAATGAGCTCAAGAAGGTGATTTCCTGGTATGGAGAAGTGCGAAAGACAATTCGCTCAGCTATTCAAAGGCTTATGGACTGAATAGCTTCGACTGTGTAACGACCCAATTTTCACGTTCAAAAATTTCATTTTTAAAAACATTACTTTTCGAAATGTTAAAAGATAAAACATTGTTTGACCAAACTACATCACAACATAAACCATGTTCAAAGACAAGTCATACAACAAATCGAAACATCAGAGTATAAATCCCAAGGACATCTAGTGAATGCGAAAACCAATGTGTGTGCGTGATGTGCCGCTACCGAGCCAGCTCCTTCCCTTTCGATGAAGAGGTACCTGAAACCAAAACTGTAAACTGTAAGCACAAAGCTTAGTGAGTTCCCCCATCATACCACATACCATACAACACATAACTTACATACTGCCAGGCTATTCTAGGGTGCCTGACTAACCGGTACGGCCATTCTGGGGTGCCGACTACCCGTGCGGCCATTCTGGGGTGCTGTCCTACCCATGTCAAGCCATTTTGGGGTGCTGACCTACCCGTGTCTAGCCATTCTGGGGTGCTGACTACCCTTCGGTCCTAACAACCGAACTCGGGGACTAGTCCCCTCCTACTACCTCTATCGCATATAACATAACAAGCCAGCATGCAAACATATCATCACATACTGTCAGACGTATCTGGGGTGCCTGACTACCCTTCAGTTCTAACAACCAAACTCTACTACATACAACATATCATGCTAGCATATAACATATCAAGTAGTAGCAAACCTAGATGATATCACAAAGACAATCATCTATCATACATCTCCTACTGGTGGGCCGACATTGTGGCCTTAAAACCCACCGCTACTGGAAGGTAACTCACCTCGAAGTAGTTGCTGATCTTCGTGGGAATAGTCTGACTACTGCTGCTATTCCGGAACTCCTCCGGCTGTATTCCCACCAAACCCTTAGTCAAAAACTGCTAACCGATCTTTGGGTAAAATGACCATTTTACCCCTGATCATGCCCTAAGTCAAAGTCAGGGTCAACTTCCAGTTGACCCGACTTGCCGAGTTGGCTCGCCAACTCGCCGAGTCCATGTCTAAACGACTGTCCTGAATTATGTTTCTACTCGTCGAGTTAGGCGTTGACTCGACGAGTTCTCCTTCCAAACTGATGTTCAAGTCCTTCATCCTACTCGCCGAGTTGTATGAACAACTCACCGAGTCTGATCTTGATCTAAGGAGATTGCCTTGAACTCGCCGAGTCGGGGCATCGACTCGCTGAGTTCCACTATGGGTGAGTTTTAGCTTCCAACTCACCGAGTCCCTCCTGGACTCACCACGCGACTCGACATAACAAAAAGGGGACAAACCCGGAGACTCGCGACTAGACTCGCAGAGTCAGATGAGCGACTCGCCGAGTCCGCTCCATGCAAGAGCTAAAAATGTGATTTTGCTCGAATCCAATCCATGACATTCGTAGATCTGGGCTCCTAGAGCATGAATAACACGTAAAGTTTCCAACTTTACGTGTAAATATCCATGTATGGGATTTTTAGGGTTCAAAATGCACCAAAAGAGTAGATCTAAGGTTTATATGCAATATGGGCTCATAAAGGTAGTGGATCTGAGCTCCTGGAGCTCAACTATGCTTGGATCTAGAGACCAATCAACTTATTTCGAATTATCATACACATACAATCTTGGAAATGAACCAAGAATGTCTTAAATGAAGCCTTAAGCATAGAAACATGGGGAAAATGGGATATACCTCAAAGGAACTGCTGAGAGAACACAATGGTGCTTGGATGGCTTCCCTTCTTCTGGATCTACTTCCCTTTTTCTTCAAAACTTTCAAAAACACACAAGAATTTCTTCAACTCTTCAAAGAACAAGCTTAAACGAGGGTTGGGAGCTCTAGGGGTGAATGGGGGCTGGCCTGGGGCGGAAAGGGGGATTAAATAGGGTGCAAAGCCCAGAAACTTAGGGTTTCATCCAACAGCAGTGACTCGCCGAGTCCAGGATATGGACTCGCCGAGTCGCCAACTTAAACGCATCCCGGGGTCTCGTCCCTACTCGGCGAGTCGGACCTATGACTCGCCGAGTCCAAGGCTTAAAAAGGAAAATACTCAATTAAGATTTACATACCAGGAACCAGGTGCTACAGACTGTTTACAAAGAGGGAGATTGTAGAGTTTATATTGTAAAAGTCAAATTGTGTGTTTGTTTAGTTTCACATTTTTAGTTATTTTACTAAGTCAGTTTTATGAGAAGCGTATTGTAATAGACTTAGTATACTTTTTGTACACTCAGGTTCCCTATAAATAGGGATTGAGGATAGAAGTAGAAAAAAAAAACTTTGGAACTCAAATATCCTTTCTGCTTAAGTCTTGTAATCAGTCTTTATCAATATAAGATCTGATTAATATTTACTCTTCGTGTTCTTACTTTTCAATCACTCAAATCATAATTACTTTCATAATCTCGATAACAATTCTCTTCATGTATGGATCTAGAGCATGACATACTTAAGGACAACATTGATTGCGGATAAAAACACATAATAACATCATATAAGCTAGATCTAACCAAATGAGCATCAAGGTATGAACTTTATACCTTCCAGAGATGTAGAAAGGTACAAAACTTCCAGATCCAAGGTTGTTCCAAACTTATAAGTTGTTCTCTCATCCTTCTTCTTCCTCTATGAACACCAAAATACCTACAAATGGCTCATGAATGCTAAAAAATGAGTTAGGGTTTGCAAGGGTCAAAGTTGGGGCTAGAGGTTGATGAACGAAAGAGGAAATGGGACTTAAGGTTGCTTAAATATGGTCCAAACCCTAAATATTAGGGTTTAGGATTTTATCACGTATGCCGAACATACCTGGGATTACGTCCAGCATACGTAGGGACGCCCCAAAAATTACAATTATTTCATTTTGGTCTAATTTGCCACAATTCTCATATCTAGGGCTAAAATGCAATTAATTCTCATACTTAGGGTTAAAATGGAAATACTTGAAAATTGGGATGTTACACTAGCTGTTTGTCTGTGGATGATATGTAGTACTAAAATGCAGCCTGGTACCCAATGCCTCGTAGAACCTCTTCCAAAACTTGTAAGTAAATCGAACATCTCAATCAAATACTATATAAATAAGCACCTTGTGACAAGCCACAACCTCTAGAATATAGATGTCAACTAATTTCTTAGCCTAGGAGCTCTCCCGAATAATAAGGAAATAGCACTCTTGGTTAAACGATATACAATAACCCAAATAGCATCTAGCCCCTTAACCATCCTTGGTAACTTGGTAATAAAATCCATGGTGATCTGGTCCCGTTTCCACACAGAGATCTCTAAAGGCTGCAACATACCGTGTGGTCTCTGATTCTCGGACTTGACCTTTCGACAGGTCAGACACCTCTCAACGTATCAAGCTATTTTCATCTTCATGTAGGGCCACCAAAAACTGGGCCTCAATTCCAGATACATTTTTTGCATTCGGGTGAATCGAGAACTTCAACTTGTGTGCTTCAGTGCTCCTCTAACAATATATGACGAACCTCATTAGAAACGGAAACACAAACCCTACCACATTATGTCAACAGCCCACGCCTAATGGTAATAAAAGTAGTCATCTAACCCCTGATCTTCTCTTTTTCCAATCCTCCTTCTTGATTTCCTCAGTTTGTGCCTTTATGATCATATCGAAAATTGGTGAAATGATGGTCGTCCTCAAACATAGATCATATGATGCAAAATAGCTCAAGAACATTCAAGAGAACGTTGTCTGGTCGCAATGAGCAAAATAATTTTTCAACATTTTCTAGTATAAATATGGGGTAAACAGAATGGTTATTTCGTACCACATAAAAACCACATATAGATTCGAAATATACATATGAAAAATGTAGGGTGAATGTATAGATTCCAAACATACTCAATGTCAATGATTAAAGCGTACCAAACCATTAACCAAATCTCATGTTTCAACTCTAACAAAATCATTTTCTAAAGAAATCAAAGACAAAAGAACATGCTTCGTGTCACTTTGCAAGCACTTGCAATTTCTTTAAAAGAATAAAGCATTAGCATAATTAGTGATACTCTAGACCGATTTTTCAAATTACGCATATAAAAACTATAAAAAAATTCTTCTACAATGTATCCTTGGTGCAAATACCTTACCACTTCTAAACATAGAAAAAAGGATAAGGATTTACACAACCTTAACTTGCATAATTAATGGAATATGACATAAAAATTCAACAAAAATGTTGAGCAACAACATTTCCTAGAAGTCAATATGGCTTGGATATTGAATTATAGCCAACACTCATGCATAAAAAACATTAATTTACACCCTTCTATAACAAGTAATCTGAGGGAATCTTGTTTTTAATTGTTTAAAAAAAGATACATATAGAACATTGACAGAATAGCCTTTCTTTGCAATTGGTAGTTACTAGCGGCAGGGGGGATGAACATCATCATCTTCACTTCCATCCACCGCCATCGCGGAGGAGTGAACTGCAAATTTGGTCTCTATGTCTAGCAAAAGTTTGGGGGTTCACTTTCATAACTAAAAAAATTATATAGAAGTTATGACCAAGTTTGATTGTGGATAAGTTGTATAAGGTCTCTAATTTTAAACCTTGTTTGTTTTGTCCGATTAATTATATGAAATAACGAGTTTTATCAATATGCTTTCAGAATCCATATTTATCAACTTACTCTCCCGTTGGAAATTTAAACGTTATATCAAACAAAAAATTCCCAAATACGTAATTTCCAAACCGTAAAATTTAGATGTTACACACATTCCATTCCATTGAAAAAATATAATCATGAAATATTGGAATTGAAATAGCTAATATTAAGATAGGTCTCTTAGATGCTCCATATAATCTTTTTTTTTTTCAACTATTTGGTTGACTAGGTCCATTAGGTCCAAGTCCACTGTAATGATTCAATGCAGTTAAAAGCCCCGAAAAAGTTACCAAATTAGGGCAAATATTAGTCTCCAACATCTCCTCAAACAATTTAATAGCATCGTACTTCCATCCATACCTACCACAAACCAATATCATAGTTGTATACACACCCACATCTTTCTTTTTCAACCCACGAAACAAATTGTAAGCTTTATCAACTCTCCCAAATTTTGCATAAAATTCGATTAATGCATTACCCAATTGATCATCCATCTTGATGTTCATTTGCTTCATTAGTGTCTCATCAATCCAAGATCCGAATCTGAAATCCCCCAACTGAGAACAAATGGAAATAACAATACCCAACGTTGTATTGTCTGGTTGGATGTTTACATTTGGTTGAAGCATTTCATCGAACAGTTGGAGTGCGTGTTTTGGCTGGTTGTTGTGAGAGTAACAAGTGATCATAGCGTTGTACAGCAACTGATTCTTTTCATCAATTTCATTGAATACTTCGCGTGCAGATTCAACGTCTCTGTTTTTAGAGTATGCTTCGATCAATTTGATGCAAGAAATTGTGCTTTGTTCAGGCATCACATCGTAAAAGTTGCGGGCAAATTCCAACTGTTTGGAATCTATATAACCATTGATCATTGAAATCCATGAAGATGAAGTTTTAACTGGCATTGGTGCGAATAAAGCTATCGCCTTCTCCATATCCCCTGTTCTCGTGTACCATGAAACCATGGAATTCCAAGATGCAATATCTTTACGTCCCATCTTGGAAAACAACTGTTCAGCCATGGAGAGATTCCCTGATTCTAAGTACCCGTTTATCAAACCAGATACTGAATTTCTTTGAGACATTTCATCGAACACTTTATTTGCAGTCTCCATATCATCAAGCTTCGAATAGAGCCCCACAAGAGCAGTTCCCACATGGACATCCCCACAGAACCCATATCCATAGACTTGAGCATGTATCCTGATCCCAGCTATCCAATTCCCGATCCTCGTACATGCCTTTAGCGCAGATGCTACAGCGAAGGTGCTAGGGAAGATACCTGATCTTTGTATATGCACATACTGGGTCAACGCTTCTTGAAACTCACCACGTTGGTAGAAAAACTGAACTGCAGATGTTCTCGCGATCACATTTGCGTGCTTTGACTGGTGAAGAAGAGACCGAAGATAATGGATAGTAGCTTCAGAGTGATCGGATGGTGTGTAGATTATTTGGGTGATCACCAGAGGCTCAAGATGGTTGAGACCATTGATGAGTACAAGAGCATGGAGTTGCTTCACTTGATTGATACTTAAAGGGTGATTTAACAAGGCTGTGACTTTCGTAATCAGGATTGATAGTATTTTGAGTTTTGAAGATTTGAAAGGACTCCGTAAACGGGGTGTCATCTTGTTCTTCAATTAAGCGTAAAAGAAACCAGGTATTACTGATGCAACAAAGGCAGGTTTTAGAACCTGCAATATGAAATTATAAGCAAATGTAAATAATAAACAAGTATAGGCGTGTTTGGCACAGAGCTTTTGGAAGCGTTTAGGAGCTTCTAGCTTTTAGCTTTTGACAAAACGCTCTAGTTTAAATAAAAAGCTTCGTTTGGCAGTACGAGCGTTTAGCTTTTAGTTTTATCAAAACGTTCCGATTCTAAAAGCTACTTCATGTAGCTTTTAACAAAACGCTCCGGAGCTTTTGAAATCAATTTCCATAATTACCCTTAATAATATATTTATATACTTTTTTATTTTTAATCAATTGTCCTTTTATGTAATTTTATATATTTCAAAAGCTTCCAGCTCCTTTTGCCAAACATTCATATAACAAATAAAAGCTACAGCTTCCCGCTACCAGCTACCAGCTACCCGCTTCCAGCTAACAGCTACTTTTGCCAAACACGCCCATAAACAGGCGAAACTAGAAGTCTAGAACAAGATGTCTTCATTCTTTGAAGCAATACGTCGAACAGGTAACAGACAAATCCAGCATTTGGATGAAATATGCTATTCAGAAAATTATCGAACAAACTAACCAGTTCCCAAAAGTATTCATGCTCAAAACTTCAATTTCCCAGCTGCAGTGCAAGTAATGTATTCAAATAGTTGTTAGCAATTCGAATAAATTAAATTTGACACGCAAATGTCAAATCATTTGGGAAGCTGTTGATGCGGTGGCGACGGCGTCAAGCGGAGGACGGCCGACCGCTTCAAAGTTCAAAAGAAAGAAGCCCAAAAAAGCGTTTGCAGTCCAAAATTCAAACTTCAAAATCGATCGGAAAAAAAAAAAAATTGGTAGAGCATCATAACATCTATCTTTCTTCGTCAAATAAAAACCTATTAATCTAAATACTCTAGGGAAAATGAACTTTGAGGGTAGTAAAGTATTCGTCTTGTATTCATTAGGTTCCTTATCTTTTTTTTGTCTTTATTATACAATTGAACTTATAATCCCTGTTCACCAAAGCCCTTGATACCGGTTGTTGTAGGTTACTACTTATGTGGATATTACGTGGCATTATGTGCCATAAACTGGGCTTATTAATTGCAAAGTTACAGTACTGCATCGTTCTTGCCCGTTCTTGCCCGTTCTTCGACATGTCTTCTTCTTCTTCTTCTATTTCTTCCAAACGAAATGTTGAATTTCAACCTGAAAATCCTTGTTACTGTGGGTTACCATCTCGTGTACGAACTTCACGAACTAAAGACAATCCAGGAAAAAAATTCAGATTATGCCCAAACTCCATGGTAAAGCAATTGTTTTTTACTTTTCGTTTAATCTTCTTTCTTTAACCAATGTGTTACTTTTTTCAAGAATGAAGGACCAAAATGCAAGTTTTGGGAATGGTTGGAGCCGGAAACCCCTGAAAATGAAGTCAATTCTGGGAAGGACAAAAAAGAACCGTGCAATTTAACCCTCAAAGTTTCTATATTGGAAAACGAGATCAGCATATGTAAGATGAAGATGGAACAAGAAAATTTGGTTGTTAGACAAGAGTTTGAAAAACTCAAATGGAAGCTATTTACTCATAAAGTTGTGATGATTGTGTTGTTTCTGTTGTTTGTGTTTAAGAAGTAGTTTAGCCCTTAATTTAACCCTTAGTTTAGCTGTATTCAAAGACTAAATGTAATCCTTAATGTTGTAATTTGTTTGATGTATTATGACTAAATCTTTTTGATTAATGATAGTTTGATGTTTTGAGTGCTTTCCAAGAAGTATTAATGTGTTTAAAAGGTTAATGAATTGGACATGATGCATGGGTAAAATGGTCCAGATTAAATTTGGCAGTCAATTGTTATTGTGTTGATGTGATCCAAGGGTAAAATGGTCCAGATTAACCACATTGGATACATCAAACATTTCTTAATGTATTAAGACTAAATCTTGGCATTAATCAATTGTTAATGTCGTGATGTGATCCAAGGGTAAAATGGTCCAGATTAAATTTGGCAGTAATCAATTGTTATTGTGTTGATGTGATCCAAGGGTAAAATGGTCCAGATTAACCACATTGGATACATCAAACATTTCTTAATGTATTAAGACTAAATCTTGGCATTAATCAATTGTTAATGTCTTGATGTGATCCAAGGGTAAAATGGTCCATATTAAATTTGGCAGTAATCAATTGTTAATGTGTTGATGTGATCCAAGGGTAATATGGTCCAGATTAACAACAACAACAACACCAAACTTTGCTTAATGTAGTAATACTAAATTTACTTGATTTATGATAGATAATATAAGATTAAACAATCTATATGCAAATAACCGTACACCAAAGCATATAGATAAAAGACAAAGTTGTAATATTCCATCAGCATGTGCACTATTACAAAAGTTGTGCCCACAGTTGTCCTAATATGTCAAAAGATGTGCCATGTGCCATGATTCTTAAAGTTTTCCCAATTACATATTTATAAGACTAAAAGTTTGTCTTTCCAAATAAAATCATTCCAACACCATTGGGTTGTGTCCAGTGCTTCCTTCTTTCTTCAAAACCTTCCTCCTCAACCCTATCTTGGTAATTCTTTCTGAGTATTTTCGTATCCTCTGCCTAGTTGCAACTGGTTGAGCAGGGACATCAACATCTGGATGTGGATCATCTACTTGAACTGGTTCAACATGTGGAGCTGGTACATCAACTGGATCCACTGGATCTGCTTGAACTGGATCAACCTGTGGAGCTGGTACTTGAACTGGATCCACTTGAACTGGTTCCACTTTACCTGCTATACAAATATGTAGCTAATGAGTTGGATGTTCCATTTAAATTATATTGTTTTAATAGCATACCTTTCTCTTTTTTACATTTTTTAGGTTTCTTGTTTTTTGGCCTTGAAGTGGATGCTACATCTGCTGGTCTAGTAGGACATGTTGATCTATTGTGGCCCCTTTCTCTACAAATAGTGCATCTATTAACTGAACCTGCTTTTGAGATAGTATGCCTTGTTTTCCCCTTGCTTTCCATCTCAGATTGATCTTTTTTCCTTTTAAGGGTTGGCCTTCCTGGTAACCTTCTTTTTTGAGGAGGCAATGGCTTCATGTAGGGAGCTTCAGGCCACATGGAACTACCATTAAGTGGGTTAATGGTATGGTTGTAACAAGTCAAGAACATGGCTGTATGGAACCATGGTGCAACATAATCCTCTGCATTCCTGTTAAGGTATGAAATGGCTGCCACTGCATGCACACATGGGATACCTGATACTTGCCAAGATCTACATCCACATGTGTTGTTGTTAAGGTCCACAGCATATCCATCATTTCCAATCCTAACTTCATATTGTTGTATCCCAGATGGTATAACACCCCAAAATCTGCCCAAAAAAATAAGAAGTTCTATTAATCTTATAGATGAGACATATAATATTTATAAAATAGAAGTTATATCATACCTTTGCTGTTTCTTTAGCTTTGATATCTTCAACCTTATAGATGGACATATTTTTAAATTCCCCCAACTTTGTCCCTCTTGCAACATTTTATACATCCTCTCCATTGCATAAATCCTTATCTCTTCCAACATGGTGATGAGTGGCCTTTTCCTAGCAAGATCAATAACAGAGTTGAAACTTTCTGATATGCCATTCTCATAAGCATCACAAGCCCTGTCCACTTCAAAGAATGCCCTGCACCAACTTTTAGGGTCCCTTTCCATGAGGTGTTCATAAGCCAAAGGGTCAATTTTTTTATGGAATTCATTTCTGCCTCAAATTTTGGTTGAGTAGTACTAGCAGCTGCTGCCCAAAACAACTTCCTATATTGTTCACCTTTGAAACTTTTCTTGAAGTTAGCATAGATGTGCCTAGCACATTGTCTATGCTCTGCTGCTGGAACCCTTTCTTTGACACTCTATTAATCCCTGAAAGAAAGCATGAAATAGATGACATAACAAAAACATTCAACTTAAACAAAACAAAACAGAAATATACCTTGTGTTGGTCTGATATGAGGGTCAATCCATGACCAATTCCCATTTCAATGTCATCCAGAAGGAGGTCAAGAAACCACTTCCATGTTTCCTTATTTTCAACTTCCACCACAGCCCATGCAATAGGGAAGATGTGGTTGTTTGCATCCCTACCCATAGCTGCTAACAGTTGGCCTCTACATATACCCTTTAAAAAACAACCATCTACCCCTATTACCCTCCTACATGCTGCAATCCAACCATCTTCACACCCTTAAAACAAACATACATTTTAGAAAAGTAGGTTGTGGAATCAGGCATGACATTCACATCTATCTTTACTGTTGAACCAGGATTTGTCCTCATTATTTCTTCTCCATAACTCCATACTTTACCATAATGTTCTATCAAACTACCCTCTATCTCATCAAAGCATATCTCTAGCATTTCTACATTGAGTGACACTAACAATCAAGTTAAACTTTGTACTCACTTTGGCCTTCATTTTCCTTATGCTCATTTTAGGGTTCTTCACAAGTTGATTCTTAAAATGCATTCCAATCCATTTATATGTTACAATGGAACCAAGTTTGAAGACTCTTGAACAGTTATGTTCATCAACTAATGACTTAATTTGGAAAGACCTTTCACTGCTCATCCAGGAAGCCCACAGTCTAAAAGGACAAGAGGGGTTCTTGTTCTCTTTACAACATCTCACTAATAACCTCTGACTATCATTTTTCTCAAAATAAAGGTTGTACCCATTCTTCACTGCATAGTTAGTCAAACAATTTTTCAATTCCATGGGGTTAGAGAATCTCATACCTAGAATTGGCACCATTTTGTCCCATTTCTGGTTCTCATTATGGACAGGGTACACTGGTTTGTCATCTCCATTCTTGGTTTCAACCTCATCAGTTTCAGCCTCATCATTTATATCCTTACACATACCTGACACCCGATGTAAGAATTCATCACCAATAGTCTTGTCAAGAGAAGGAATGTAATCATCTGCTTCATGCTCATATGGAATATCATCAGAAAGTTGTGAATCTTTATCATCATCCAGGTCTTCCTCAGAATAATGCCCTTCATCATCAGCCCAATCAAGTACAGGTTCATTTTCGTGGTCTATATACACATTCATTCTTAGACCGGCTTCATCACTATAACCCGTTTCAATAAACTCAAAGTAGTCAGCATCATTCGTAATTCTCCTAATACCCTCTGCCAATGGTTCATTTCTAGTGCAATAATATACATTATCACAACTGCCTTCAATCAACTTTGCAATGAACAAGTTAAAGTCTTTGAAATCCATTGCACCAAAATCGACATCACAGATTGAAACAACAACAGCGTTCAAGTATACTAATGATTTTGGTGCGAATAAACCATTATAATGTAAATAAACTGTTAAATACTTACTTTGTTTGGAATCGGAGGCCATCTTCTTCACTATAACACTCGCATTCACCAGTTCTCTTCAATTTCCTAACCGTATGCTTCGATTGAACTTTTTCTTCCCTCAATTAAAAAGAACCCTAACTGTAAGGACAAACGGGTGAAAGAGAAACGGTAATTAAATGTGTTCTAATTCCACGTAATAAGACATGTCATCTCTAATTAAATGTAGTAACCGGTAAAACAGGTGATAACCGGTCACAGTGGCTTTGGTGAACAGGGATTATAAGTTCAATGATATAATAAAGACAAAAAAAAGATAAGGGACCTAATGAATACAAGACGAATACTTTATTACCCTCAAAGGTCATTTTCCCAAATAATCTATAATCATTAATGATTCTTCAAAATGATTTTTAATATTAATAAACACATCAATTTAATGTATAATTATTTAATCACACGTAATACTTATAAAAACAAAAAATATAAATATTGTTTGTGTTTCCCTCTTAATGACATAAACAAGCAAACAGAACTTAAAAGAGAGCAATGTTATGTTTTTTTAATATAAAAAATACAACAGAAATATTTTATATATAATTATAAAAATAAAAATGATAAAAATAGTATATGATGATTATGAATTTAATATTTAACACTTGATAAAAAAAATTAATTGTACAAAACCCAAAACTCAAGAAAAAAACAGCTGATATTATAGACTTATGGACCCAAAAAACTACAAGACTATTTGGATGTTGGACTTGGACTACCTAGTAACTAAAGAGATAACAAACAATAAATGGATCTTTATTATACTATGAATTCACTTTATGTCTTTCGGTTGTGATTGTGAACCTTGAGTCTCTTAAGTCGCTGACATTGGACTAATTGTATCCTTGCTTTAGTTGTGTTAAGATTATCTAGACTAGTTTACCACTTTGGGCTTTGCTTATTACATTATAATCTGAATATATTAAGATTATATATTTTTATAGTGGACTAATCATATCTTAGTTTTAATTGTCCGGAAATGATCTTTTTATTGTTTAGTATGAAGTAATCGGGAATGAAATGGTTCATTCCAACTATATGCAAATGATGTTTTGTTTCATGGAATGTAATAGATTATAACAAATGTGATTCCTTTTATTTTGTTATCAAGTGTATTTTATTCCACTATAATATGGAATGAAAACTTGTTATCAGATATATAGTTGTGTTTTTATGAAATTTTACCAAAATTTTCTTATTTCATGATTTGATCACATTTTATTTTCTAAAATAACAAGTGTGCGTGTACATAATATAAAATAATAATAATAATAATAATCATCTCCATAAAATAATTTAAATGCGGTCATTAAATGTTATAATTCATTCATTTAACTTCACCATCCTATTACTTTATTATTATTTTTTCATATAATCATAAACTATCTTTGATAAATAATTGTAGGAATACAAGGGATGAAGCACGAAGCCCATTTTTTCCAACTTTTTTCAATATATATACTTTTAGCCTTTTCGGGTGACCCATTTTAGGTGACCCATTTACTCATAAGGGGACAACACTCATTATTATGATCTATGAGACCTAAATTTGATGTTCAAACCACACGCATAGTCCAACGTGTAACCTAAACCACAAATTCGATGGCTCATGCTCACTCATCTTCTAAATTTGGTAAGAAAAGCATGATTCAAGTAAAAGCACATTGAATGAATGAATGGTTCAACTAAGTCCACAATGACTTATGACCACATAAATTGACCCTTCACGTACACCAAAGATCAAAGCTCTTTTGGCAACTAGAAAAACAGAATATGGATGTGTGTAGAAGGTGACTGAAGTCATAAAATCCATCGAGTGTTTGGTTAAAAGGTTTATGGCTTTTTGATTATTCAGTGTCACATTTGAAGGAGCAATGAAGCAAAGCAAAACTCACTTAACTAATCATCTAAATTCGATTCTAGAAAACAAAATAATCAGTTTTACATATTTGCTTCTAGACACCCTGCAAAGAGTATTTAAAAAACAACAGTGGAGGAGGAGATGCCTTTTGTATCAAGTAGAGATAGCACCTAGTGCTATGATATTGAATATTTGTGTACATATAAAACGAAGATGTAAAAGAAGTTATAGAAAGTAATTTTGTGAAAATGAATTTGTAAAAAACAAAGATGTAATAAAAATATGTAAACAAAATTGTTAAAAAAGTACTTTTCTAGAAAAAACTATATAAACAAAGTTGAAAAAGTTTGTAAAAAGGTTTTGGACCAAATTCGTCAAGAATATTAAAAGTTAGACCAAAATTGTAAAAACAAAAAGTTAGATGGATCTGATTTTTGGAGAAAAAAAAAAGGTTAAGGAAAATTTGTGAAAAGATTGATGGACCAAATATGTAAAAAATAAATAAATAAATAAAAGTTATGCCAAAAATATAAGAAAGGAAAGTTTATATGGGGCGGACTTGGGTCAGGATCCGGAGTGGGCGGGTGAGTTTGATACAATTCGGGCCGCATTCAGAAAATGAAGAGGATGTGATGTTATCAAAAAGTTAATAAAATTATGGTTCACACGATTGTAGATTGTAGGATTTACATAATTTGATTCTCAAAATATCAACAAACAAAATATATGGGATAAACTCGTGTGAACATGGGTTTGAATATATTGATGTTAGATTGGAGTTTAACTTATTTCTGAAGGCAATGTAAAGTTCTTAATATCATAAACTTGTTTATTTATTAAAAGACAGCAATTATATCAAACAAAAGATATTAACATAAAGACTTATAAAGACAGCAACGATATCAAACAAAAGATATTAACATAAAGACTAGGACCTCATCACTCATCAGTTAGGCTTTTCAACTTGTACTCTTTATCATTTTCTTCATATATGTATGTATTATAGAGAAATTTTGTGTTTTACTAGATGAAACCCCCTCAAGCGTTTTATATAAATATCTCTATGTTCTAGCTCCTCACGAATACTCTTTTCACGAATTGCAAATGTCATGATCTAAAGTCATTTTCTTTAAATCTATGAGAACGGCTTGAGATACTTTTTCATCGAACTTTGTTGCATGAAGTGGGTGTTTTATTGTTGTTGTTGGTGGTGAAGAAAACGAACCGGTAATGGATTGAGCAAGAAATAATGGGGAACTATTTCGGGTTTAGTGTGTTGGATGCAAGATTTGGAATGGAGATGTTAATATTGATAATAGAAAAGATGGTTTAATTATTGTTATTGGGCACTTGAATGGTTAAGAATTAAATTTAGCAATATTCACTTTTCCATTAGTGTATATCCACATCAGCAAGTTTGAAGTTAGCTTTCCTTTTCTGTTACAATTTGTTAGATTGATATTAGTGGCGTATATTAGCCTAGCTTGTACAATATATATTTATAACTTGTATTTTGTAATTGAGTAATGAAGAAGAATGTTTTTAGCTCTTGTCTAAATCATATTTTGGCATCAGAGATAATATCCGCTCATTTTTCTTCTCGGTCAATTCTTGTTCTTCATTTAAATTGATTTGATTCATCAATCAATTCTCAAATCATCGATGGACTCTTGTGTTTTTTTTTTCTCTCGATTGATTTGACTTTGTTCGTCATTGGATCCTTTTCTTCTTTATCAATTGATTATTGTTCATCAATTGAATTTTCGTTGATCATCATGTCTAATAACATGATTCCAAATCAAAATCCAAATCAAAACAATGCAAATGATCCATACTATCTTCATCATTCTGATCATCCAGGCTTAGTTCTTGTCTCATAAATTCGCACCGGTGAAATTATGCATCATGGAGCAAATCTATGATAATTTCTTTGTCTGTAAAGAGTAAGATGGGTTTTGTTGATGGAACTCTTCTCAGGTGTAACGTCCTAAAAATACGAGCCAAAATTTTCATTTTTAAAACATATACTTAGCAAAACATTAGAAATAAAACATTCACCGATCATATCGTTTCATAAAGATGTCACGTGTCTGGAAACTAGTTTATAAAAACATAATAATATCATAGTACAAGTCCCCAGGAAGATCTCATAGTACGGAATACAAGCGTGTATGTGATGTGCCGCTACCGTGTCAGCTCCTTCCCCTTCAAAGAAGAGGTACCTGAAACCAAAACTGAAAACTGTAAACATGAAGCTTAGTGAGTTCCCCCATCATACCACATACCATACAATCACATATCATACATACTGTCGGACAATTTTTGGGTGCCCGACCTACCCGGTATGGCCATTATGGGGTGCCGACCTACCCATGTCAAGCCGTTCTGGGGTGCTGACTACCCATATCAAACCATTCTGGGGTGTTGATGTTGGAATAGTGTCTAAGGCTGCAACTATATTAGGCAAGTATTTGACCCGATTGTGCATGGTCCTTTTGGGTTGTCTTCACCATAGCAACTTGATAGGATGATTTATTAAGAGAGAGTAAATATTATTAGTATATTATAAATAATATAAAGAATAATATATTAATATAAGTCATAGAATTAATCAGAATTAATTTGGTGACTTAAAGAGATTAATTAAATAAGAGGGTATAAACTGTCAATTGCTTGATAGTTAAACTTTAGACTGTAAATCCTTATTGATAAAGGATTGGACGATTTCTAAGGCTAGGATAAGCCAAAATCGTCCATAGGGTTATCAAGGAAAGGATATGGATTAACTTAAAGTCTAAGTTATCCAATTAGGGTTTAAGCTGTAACCCTTAAGGAGTCTACAAGTATAAATAGACCCTATGGCTGAGGGAATTCGATATCCCATCTAAAGTAAAGAGACTCTGGCCGAATTCCTCCCCTCTCCTCTCTCCCAAATCATCCTCCTTGCTATTTGGTGTTTGTAAGCCATTAGAGGAGTGACAATTGTGACTCTAGAAGCTCCAAGACAACAAGATCAACAAGGAATTCAAAGGTATGATTCTAGATTTGTTTCAATATTGTTATTACAACTAAATAGTCATTAGAAGTCTTGGATTCAAAGCATGTTTGATCAGAAAGCCTAGATCCAA